TGACATTACATTACAGTAGTATTACATCCAAATCACCTGAATCGGGTGTTCCTGATTCAGATAACATCTGACACATCTGACTCAGATAATTTGGATGGGTGAGCAAATACTGGGTGCTTAATTTTACAGGTGTATAAAATTAAGCACCTATGCAGACATTTACAAACATTATTGAAAGAATGTGTTGCTCTAAGGAGCTTGGTAAAACTGTGATAGGATGCCACCTGTGCAACAAATCCACTTGTGAAATTTTCTCACTCCTAAATATTCCACAGTCAACTGTCAGCTTATAATGCTATAAAAAGATGGAAGTCTTTGGGAAAGTCAGCAACTCAGCCATGAAGTGCTACGCCACGTAAACAGACAGAGTGGGGTCAGTGGATGCTGAAGCGCATAGTGCAAACAGGTCGCAACTTTATGTAGAGTCAATCACTACAGACCTCCAAACTTCATGTGGCCTTCTGATTAGCTCAAGAACAGTGATTAGAGAGCTTCATGGAATGGGTTTCCATGGTGACCAGCTGATTCCAAGCCATACATCACCAAGTATAATGCAAAGCATCAGATGAGGTGGTGTAAAGCAGTGGTCCCCAACCTTTTTATTACCACGGACCGGTCAAGACTTGGAAAATNATAATTTATTAACTTGTGAAAAAATAGGAATACATAGTGTAGCTATGAGAAAATATTTTGACTGAATGTATTAAGTATTAAATTAATTGGTTAACGGTCATGTATCAATTGTTCAGGACAGTAATGAATAGGTTAATCCTATTCAAATTAAAAAAATACTTTGATACCAAACGAAAATTAAATGGTATAACTCAGCATGAATTTAGCATTTTTATTTATGCAACAGAGTCTCATCTTCTGTAGTTGATTACATCATGAACATAAGAAAATGTCTGGCAAAAACACTACTTTTAGGTTTCTCTAGCTGGAATCAAAATCTTTATTTTATAGTTTTCTGATCTCATTAACTTACAGAATCCCAAAACCCAGCTGCTTTCAGTGTTGCTTACATTTATAAAAATGTGACGAGTAACAAAGTACATTTACCTGAGTACTGTACTAAAGTATATTTTCTGAGTATCTTTATTTTAGTGTTTTTTTTTCCTTTTTGGAGAACTTACAACTTTCACTCTAATACATTTCAAAGACAAATATACTTTCTACTTCTCTACATTTCTTGTAAGCTTGTCATTACTTGTTCCTTTTGGCTGCAGTCTGCTGTTGATGGTTTTCTTTCCTAAAGTAGAACTGACCACATGCTATGCTCCTCAGTCACAAGAGCCTTTCTTAGAAACAAGTGGCATCCACAAATTCCCTACACATTGGCTCAGGGCTTCAGGAAGAGAAGTCAACATTAGGTACTATGTGAACCAGGTGTCAAGCAAGGATGGGGACATCAGTCCCCAAGAAGGCATTATAAAGGGTTGCCATCTGAAAATTCTGTTGTGGCCTTGAAATAAGTTTTGTCCTAGAGACATAATGAACAATAAGTTTTAACATAAACCTATGGTATCATTCTGTATACTTATTGCTAGGGAACCCTGGGCTAAATGGGATTGATTTTGTAAAACAGTGTTTTACAAAATGTCATGAATACTATTTGGTTTCACCTAGTGGTAGAGGACCAGTGTTGCATAATAAAGTCTGAAGAGTTCTAAATGAAAAGTGGACATATGCTTTGAAATTCTTTCTTTTCGCATGTGGTCTATATAAAGTAGAACTGATTTGGTCTGAATTCCTGGTTATTGCAGCTCCACAACCACAGCTCGTTTACGTCTGTTCTGACATGGAGTTTTGGAGCAACTCGTTTTTGCTGGTTTTTGTTTGTTTGTTTTAATGTGAATGAGACATTTCACGCCACACTCCCTTCCAGGTCGCAGTGTGTTCCACTTCACCTCGTTCAGCTATTTTTGTAGTTTGAAGTTGGACTACATCACTGCAAGGGGAAATTAAATGACGGATTCACAAAACTGATAAGCCGGAAGTCATAACCTTGTTTAGCGGTCATAAAAATGTTATAGGCAAGAGAAAAATGAACAGTGTGAAAAAAAAATACATCAAAAACAATATAAAGATCTATGCAGCACCAGGAGAGATTAAAGGTATTTTTTTTATTTTGCATTTCTAGACTCAAAGTACAAAAAGAAAAAACTGCATTTAAGGACTAAAAAAGTTAATTTGGACAATAAACGTCAAGGGTTTTGTTTTATACATTCTGGACCAAGGCGAGCTGATAAAAAGCTCAATTTTGTTGAGCTCGTACTCATCTTCTGTCTCATCTGTTCAAAGGACATTCTCCCAGAAGCTGCCAAATAAATTTGTATTGCTTACTTTGAGACCATGGGAAAATGAAACCTGGCAGAGTGTGTGTGTGTGAGACGTTCTAGCAGAAAGCGTTTTAACATAAAAAATGTACTTGTTCCTTTTTATGCTCTAAAAATAACTTGGAGGTTTTAAATTTTCAGCAAACTTTTTAGTTCTGTAACATTTTATTGCATTAATAATGGTGACATACTATGACAAATGTATGTTCACAATTCACAACCTCAATTCCTAATATTCTTTTGCTCAGAATTTATAACTACACATTCAAGCTTCCCATCATCTTTAACCTCCTGAATGTGTTGAACAAAATGCAGATAGTGACTGAAGAGAGATAAAACTAACCTACTGTGAGATTTCACTTAACTCAGACCTTTTATGAATAAAAATCAATTTATTTCCTCAGTGTTTCAGAAAATAAAACAAAAAGGAATTGAAAATGTTTTTTATATGGAAATGGGGTCAGGCAGGTTGGAAACAATATAGTCTTGATTTGCAGAGAACTCTGGAGGATGCCAGTGGCAGTCTATGATTGCATCGTACAGTTCTTCACTGAGGTCAATAAAGCTCCTGTTAGTCTCCACTACGTCCACCACCAGGCTGGGATCTACAACACAAGCAACAAAGACCAGTGTTACAAATTGGACAACCACCTCCCACTTCACAGTTTTTATTAGGGCCATCAATATTAACGTGTTAACATCTAAAAAGTTTAACATTAAAATTGCATAGCACAGATTAATCACATTACATATTTTGAGATAAAATCCTTTCTTCTGTGGAGGGTTCCACCCAGTTAAAAGAAATGCATTTTTACACGGTCTTGTACTCCGTGCAACAATGGAGAGACACAATGGTGAATGAAAAAGACGAGCGAGGAGTCAGACTGGTGTGCTTAGTGGTAAATTTCACACAAAAAAAAAACAACAGCGGTTAGAGCGAACATCCCCATATATAGAGGACACCTCCATGCAACCATCCCAGCAAGGAATTCCATCCTCGGTTTCTTTCCAGCATCTTTTTCCTCTTCCTGTCAAATAAGGTCCATTATGGCAAAGCAATTCTTAAAAGAAAAAAAAAAGTGATGGATGTTTGGTTAAAACTAAGGTAGTATGTAGCCCAACTATTATCCTTCCATCAAATCACAACCATCTTATAGTTAACATTTCTACATTATGTTTGAACATGGACTGGTGTATAAGTAATTTGATTACATTTTTTAATCAATTGAGAGTAACAGGTTTTATACAAAGCACTCTAAAAGTTCTGAGAAGCAGCCATTTCTATTTTTTCCTCAATATTAACCATATTGTCGTTTTTTTATGTAAAACAATACAGGAGCCAGACAGAAGTTATCTCTCGCTATTTTGCAGCAGCAACAATATTGTTTTGATATTCTTCTTGTGCCATCATTAACATTTCTAAATCCACTAGTGAGAAGAGGACCAGGACACGCTGGACGGACTATGTTTCTCGGCTGGTCTTGGAACGCCTTGAGATTCCCCCAGAGGAGCTGGAACAAGTGGCTGGGGAGAGGGAAGTCTGGGCCTCCCTACTTGGGGTGCTATGCCTGCGACCCAACTCCAGATAAGTGGAAGAAGATGGATGAGAGAAGTATAAACTTTCAGCCATGGTGAATTGTGTTGTCTGCCTTCTATTGATGAGGGTTTCTCATGCTCAGTCTTAACTCAGTCAAAAGATTCCACAATACAAAAACTTACCTTCAACTGCTTCTTCATCTGGAACTGCTTCACTTTCCTGAAGCAGAAAAAGAGCATAAAACATGAGAATGGCTGCTGTCTAGAACAGTTGCTGTAAAAGTTGCTTAGCACAGAGAGCTCACCTGTACTTGGGCATACTGCGAGTAATCATACTGAGGATAAGTGTAACCATACATTCCTGCAGTCTGATCATACCCCCATGAGGAGTAATACCCTGGATACGCTTGCTGCTGGTACTGGTCATACTGGTCATAGCCGTATCTGTATCCTGAGCTGGACTGCCATGACTGTTTGCTTTCTGACTGCTGTTGCTGCAGCTTGTTTCTTAAGCTGGGAGAGGGGGAAAAAAAACACACTCCTGAATTTCTCTGATGGGCATTGATTCTGCTCACATATCCATCTGCACGCTGATGTAGCCCATTTGGAAATGACTCACTTATTAGCAGCCAGACTCAGCCTGAGAGGTTTGCCCCCGAGTCCCACAGCACCCTGACACTCATCCAATGCCCGTTTCTGAAGCCGCTCATCTGGGAACTGAACAAAGCCACAGCCCCTGATGTGAAATACAAGGGCAGAGTTCAGAATGTTACAAGGAAGGCACCTTGTTTTTTAACAGCAAACATCAATATGAGTCCTGTTGAGACAAAACAAGAACCAATTGATACTATACAATATGCTGAGCATGACTATACTGAAGATTTTAGAGCAGTAATCTCAGACTGCACTCCTCAAGGGCCAGAGCCCTGCAACTTTTAGATGCATCCCTTGGCCTACACTCTAATTAAATGGCTAAACTGCCTCACTAGCATGGAGTCAAGCTCTACAGAGCTTTACTAATGAGCTAATGTTGGAGCCAGGTGTGCTGAAGCAGGGAGACATCTAAAAGTTGCTGGACATTGGCCCTTCCTCCGTTGGGGACTGGAGTTTGAGACAACTGTTTTAGAGCAATCTGCCACACATTGCTGTGCCTCTCAGTCATCAACTAGTCTCAGCTTCACTGATTTCTTTATTTCCTATTCACACAGATACAACACCATTTCACAACAAATATCTCACAGTAGTAAGCTAGACAAATATAACCAAACATAATAAACAAACAAAAGACAATAATATATATTTTAAAGAGCTATCCATGCAGGAGGCTGCATCTCATAAACTGGATTGCAAATATTTGGAAACAGCAGTGACTAAATTGCAAAGTCCTGCAGATGATGTTTGTTTTGAATTGACACAATATAAATTCTTCAGAATTAATTGAATTAACCTTTGAGAAAGAGTTACCATCTATGGATAAATAAAGCATACATCCATCTAGTGGCAGCTTCTTCAGTAGCTTTGTGTAGTTAGAATATACATATTATCATCTAACTTGCAGCACAGAAAAGAGGAAACTTTAAGTCTTTCAGTGAATGGAGATAAATCATTATTTGTTCTACAGAGACCAACTTCCTCTAGGTGGAGCTGCTACAAAGGATGACTGGGTTCTCACTGTGAAAATGATCATTTGAGTCTCAAAGTAAAAAACAAAAATTAATTAGAGGGTTTTCTCCAAATTTTATCTAAATGTCTTTTTTAGAACCTGAACAACAGCTGCAACATTGTTCTGCACTGCATGTATGGACATACCAACATTTGTGAAAAACACGGTGACAAAAACCAAACCTAAAGATGTTACTTTAACAGAATAATTCTATGGACTTAAGCTATTTCTGATTTATCTATTTATGTCTTGTGACACAGAAGAAAGTATTTTCTCACAGAATCTGAAACAAACTTTGCAAAAAATAAGTGCAGCTTTATAAAAATGAGCAGTAAGATGGCTTGTCAGCAACATGACAGGCTGATTTTTTTGCACATAAATCAGTTCTGTGCCTCAGTCATACTTAGAGTTCCCCATGCTGTCAAGGACCACTTTCCCACCACGGCAGGACGGGTAACGGTTGTAAAAGAACTCATAAAGCATCCCATCATCCACCTCTGGAGTCAGGTCTCCCACAAACAGAGAAAACATCTGACTGAAGGAGAGAAAAAGGCAGCAAGACATCAGAAAGCATCCTTTGAGACTGATTCAATCTCTTGAGTTTTTTGGTACTTTAAATGGACTCACCCAGCCTCCTGTTTCCCAAATGTGGCTCTGTTCAACTTGAATCTTGTAGGCTACATCAAAGACATGTAGATACATTTTCAAAGGGATTTCCATCAAACAACACACAAAGGAAAATGTGTTCAGGAAAAGTTTCAAATACCGGACTGGCTCCTGGCATGGATTTCCCGTTTACTTTGCGCAGACACCTTTCAGCTGTGGCCTCGTCCGACATCTCTACGAAACAGTAACCCAAAGCCCCCCTGGGAGATGGAGAACTGTTAAACGTCAAAATGAAAGCACTGCAAACGCTCTAGCTGGCTGTGGGCTCAACACTTACCCTGTCATCTTGTTCCGAATGATTCGCACATTCACCACCTGTTCCCCCATTGTGGAAAAGGCTCTAGTGATGAACTTCTCATCCATGTAGGTCTCAAGCTGAAGTGGAAAAAACAACAACAAATAAAACAGAAATGCATTCCAGGAATGAATGACTTAGTCTGCTGAGCACCATGTTCAAGTACTGGTGTTTCACCACAACTTTCCATTTGGTCAGTTAAAAGTAGAGCTGGGCAATACATCAATAATTGATCGTGATAGGAACGCAATCAATATCAACAGATATTGATCATGTGATCTGATAAAATATTCTATATTAGATATATAAAATAATTACTGAAGTATAATCCAGAACTGCACAGCATTCTGGGGGATGTAGGCAGAGGAAATACTTTAGCCACTCAATCGCTCAGTCAACTAAGCAAGGTTGGTGGCATCTACTAACTCACCCACTCTTTGGTTGCCTAGCAACAACCTGTTGAGTAACTTGTGCAGTGGCAGTTTGCCACCGTGCCTCAAAAAAACCCAACAAAAACAATAACGATAAACGTGCGAGTGAAAACTGGATAAAACAGGACAAGTTACACCACCACTTTGGCAGTATTTAAGAGATTTAAAACAAAACAATTTAATTATATATGGACAATTATCAATAGACTAATACAAAGAACTTGTATTGTAATAAGGTTTTCAGCCACATTGTCCAGCCCTAGTTAAAAGTAAATGAAACTGGTTCTTGTCTTTATTACATTCTGTACACTTATTAATGGGTTTACAGAAAAAACAAAAATGTAGCATAAAAGTCATAGTTGACTCCATTATACCAAAATATTGAATTCTTCCAGTTTTAAGGGATAATTATCCCTTAAGAAAGTTGTTTCACTTTTGATGTAACATGTGGCATTATTTTTTAACAACTGAACATCGTTTTCTTTTCAAAGTCTAAAATTTTCAAGATGTAACTTATGTCTCATCTTCCGTTTATATGCATATTAAAATAAAAATGTAGGAATCGTTCTGCAATTTACAGCATTCATACTGTATTTTCCCAGGAAATGTACATTTTTTTAGTTATATTCAACATTAGCAGCAGGGTGATTCTTTTTTTGCGGCAACATTTCGGCTTCAGGACATTTGAAAAAAAAAAGTATTAATGTTTTAAGTTTTAAATATTGTGTTACAACACTGACATGTTTAACAATAAGAAATTAATAATGGGCAAGCTCAGGATTGGATTAATTAATAATTACAGGTGTTTTTTTTCACCATTGTCTCTGAATGTGTTCCACCCTGTTAGGGACATTTACATATAGACCACAAATAGTTAACATGTACATTTAGAAAAATAATGACTTTTTCTTAAAAACAGTGCGTCTCTTTTACTATATAATATGTTTTATTTTTGAAATTGTAACACAGCATGTAGTTACGAATCATTTATGTCTGTATTGTAAAGAAAATACTTTTTTTTACTCATTATTACTGACAGCATTGAAAATATTGGTAATTTTAAAAATTTATATCAATATGTGCATTTATTGGTCTTCAATTCCCAACATGGCACAGAAAAATTCACAGTTCTTAATGTTTCTGTAACAATATTTAATAAAAATATGTGTGGAATGGGACATCACATGGTGGATTGTCCCATAACAGGGTGGAAAATCAATGTCTTTGATTCTAAAATCTGACGATTTTCATCATTGGTTGCAGAATTGCCTCTTTCAAGTCAAAGTATAGGCAGAGTATTTGTCCTAGCTCTATTTGGGGAAAAAAACAGGTGACATCCCTGTTGTGGATTTTCCCATGATAGGTACTCATTGTTCCACTCACAGGAGTCAATGGGGGCAACTAGTGAAATGAAAACAGACAAATGGCAAAGACATCTGATAATACCTCAGACTACTCTGCAACTCTATTCCATTGTCTGAAATTTTTTAGTTTACTTAAAATGATTACTTTTCACCCTAATTTCCACCCTGTTTGGTTCATGAACCTAACAGGGTGGAACTTTTCTAACTAATCTACCTGTAGCTCTTTATGTGGTGAACATTTAGCTAGCCAACCTTCAACTGAATAACAAACCTTTAATGACTAAATCTAATGTAATGTTTTTTTAAATTCTACTAAATAAACATTTTTCACAATCTCTCCTAACAGGGTGGAACTTTTCTAACTAATCTACCTGTAGCTCTTTATGTGGTGAACATTTAGCTAGCCAACCTTCAACTGAATAACAAACCTTTAATGACTAAATCTAATGTAATGTTTTTTTAAATTCTACTAAATAAACATTTTTCACAATCTCTCCTAACGGGGTGGAACTTTTCTAACTAATCTACCTGTAGCTCTTTATGTGGTGAACATTTAGCTAGCCAACCTTCAACTGAATAACAAACCTTTAATGACTAAATCTAATGTAATGTTTTTTTAAATTCTACTAAATAAACATTTTTCNGTTAAAGGATTTTCAAAATAAAAGATCCTCCAGACTCAAATAATACATAAAACGGAAATATTTAATTATTTCTTGCGTGACCACTGGTGTAAAGCACACCCTCACTGGACTCTAGAGCAGTGGAAACGCTTTCGATGGAGTGACGAATCACGCTTCTCCATCTGGCAACCTGATAGATGAGTCTGGGTTTGGCGGTTGCCAGGAGAACGATACTTGTCTGACTGCATTGTGCCAAGTGTAAAGTTTGGTGGAAGGAGGATTATGGTGTGAGGTTGCTTTTCAGGAGCTGGACTTGGCCCCTTCGTTCCAGTGAAAGGAACTCTGAGTACTAAAGACATGGATGGCAGAGTCTGGTGTGGATGAACTTGACTGGCCTGCACAGAGTCCTGACCTCACATGGTTTGTCACCGTGTGATAAACCATGTGTGTTTATCACACGGTGATAAACACCTTTGGGATGAATTAGAGTGGAGACTGAGAGCCAGGCCTTCTCTTCCAATATCACTGTGACCTCACAAATGCACTTCTGGAAGAATGGTCAAAAATCTCCATAAACACTCCTAGACCTTGTGGATCGCCTTCCCAGAAGAGTTGACCAACATCATATTGAACTCTCTGGATTAGGAATGGGATGTCAGTTAAACTCATGTGAGTTAAGGCAGGTGAGCAAATACTTTTGGCAATATAGGGTATGTAGGCCTTTGAAACACAGGGCAAATTATATTGAGGAATTGAAGTTTTTGTCCAAGTCATAAGTTAAAAATCTGGTTCTACTCAAAAGAGTGCAATGAAGCATGTGTCTTAAAGATGACAAAACTAAAGGACTGGACTTTAACTTGGATTCTTAAGGCCTGAGTCCACTCTGGGACTCCACTCTGACTCTTTCAGAATGTCAGTGCCCATCAGTTTTTTCAGTTCACGACTCCAAAACAAGCTGCTTTTCTATTGCCATTTTTAAAACTTCCTTAAAATCACACTAGTTTTCACAACCTTTTAACACAGTATGTGTTAGTAGGTTGTTGTTTCTGGTTTTACTTTGCAATCTATTTCATTCAGCTTTTGTTTTCTTTCATATTAGTTTTTAGTCATTTCTTGGTTTGATGTGTTTTAGTACTGTACATCACTTGTTTAAACAAATTACTTTTAATATCAATGAGACATGTCTAGTTAAATAAAGGTTAAATACATACAAATATGCTTTATAAATAAAACAGATTTCAATTTGGATTTAATTGCATTATTTATTGCATTATGTATTTATACTTTACATACCTTCTTAATCTGGAGTTATCTCTGTTTCTTGGTGTACAACAACTTTGGTAACAGACATATCTGGGTGCTGCTCCTTTGCCTCTTTAATAGCCTGAGCCAAAGCCTGAAGAGTTACCATGAGACAGAAAAAGCTGGATTAGTAAAACACAGCATATAAAATACATGTTAAAATTACAATTGTGGTGTCTAAGTTAAAATGAAACTGTGCTGTAGATATGAAAAAGACCATAGCTCTCACTTGGTGTACATGGTATAGATATGGTCTATACGTTTTCAGTTCAATGTACCTTAAATGGTTTTCATGGAATGGGATAGAATTATTTTAAAAATTAAAAATAAAATTCTGGTACATCTCACCCTGGTGATTACCCATGGTGAGCTTTGCGCAAAGTGCATGTTGTTCTTTTTTTTTTTTTTTTTCATTCTTTTACCCCCTATGGTAAACACAGGGGAAACACAGACTGGCCCTGTCCCAATACTCGCACTCCCACCCTCGTTCTGCCCTTTTGTCCTTCAAAAGGGTTCATGTTGAAGGGTTTGAGTGCGTAGTGTGTCAGCAGGGTGATTCTTTTGTTGCGGCAACATTTCGGCTTCAGGACATTTGAAAAAAAAAAGTATTAATGTTTTAAGTTTT